AAGTCTAAAGATGTCTTGGTTGAGTTCTACGTGCCGTGGTGTCAATACTGTACTGAGTAAGTTGATCATATCTGTACGCCATCCAATGCAGTACTAACAAGTCGAACAGTCTGCATACTCCAATGAATGAGCTCGGGTTCAAATACACCAAGTTTGGCCTGTCGGACAAAGTCGCGCTGGCAAGTATTGATGTCGACGCGAACGATGTGCCAATCGAGATAGCATCATATCCATCAATCAGGCTATATCGCGCCGGTTCGAATGACGTTGTACCTTTCCAGGGCAACTTCACTGACATATTGACAGTGGAACAGCTGGATGCTTTTGTTTCACAGAGTGGAAGTCATGGAGTAAGTGTAATTAGTCAGAGCAAAGCCCATGACGAGCTGTAGTATCCAGATAAAGACTTCTACCGAGCAGCTCATACGCAAAAGTTCAGCATGATCTCTCACTTATGGACTTTTCAATCCTTCATGTGAATTTGACTACTTTGTGGCTGACCACCGGTTACCTAATGCTGCAAACCTTATATCACAGCGGTCAGCTGAGTGGCTGTGCCAGGCCACACCATGTGTCATTCAATGAAGGGTTTCACCATCTTCCCCACGAGCGTAATCAGATGAATGCTTGCTGCATAGCTCTAACGAATCTAAACTCTTCATTCCCTTCATCTTGTCTTCGAGTTCTTTAATATGGCTTTTAAGACCCAAGGCTGAGTCCAAGTCCTCCAATTGCCACTCCAAAGGTCGTTGTCATAGCTTCAAAGCTCCAACAGTATTACTGAGAACCCGTTCATTGCGGAATCGGGTACTATCTCAACTTCTTATAACCTCATGAAACTCACGTACTTTGTTAAATGTAGCCAAATGGCCATGCACGGAGTTTCGCAATTAGCCTTCTACCATTCATCTTGTTCATGTCTCTAGTGAAGTCGCAGTCCCAAGTCTCTTCAGCTCCTCGGCCAAACTAATCCTTTTCGATTCTGTGAACACCCACACAGACAACCAACTCCCATGGACCGAGTTGTTTTCGCAACAGCTAATCCTGATTTTCAGATACGGAACCCATTAATCTCTTTGGAAACCTCCCCATCGCTCAAACCCTCCCGTATCTAGGTCAAACAGATCGAGCATTCGCCCAACACTATGCTCAACGATATCGTCCACCGTCGCCGGCCGTTGATAGAACGCGGGCACCGGCGGAAAGATAACGACCCCGTTCCGTGCCAGAGAGAGCATATTGTCGAGGTGAATTTCGCTCAGGGGACACTCCCGTGCGGCGAGTACAAGCGTTCGGCGCTCTTTAATCACCACGTCCGCCGCGCGGGCGACAAGCGAGTCGCATAACCCCGCGCGTATTGCAGCGAGCGTTCGCATACTACAAGGCACCACGATCATACCGTCTACTCGGAACGACCCGCTCGCGATTGGGGCGGCCATGTCGCTGTTGTTGTGGACGTGATCCGCGAGGGCGCGGACGGCCGCCGGGGTGTAGTCTGTCTCGTGCTTGAGGGTGCTCTCAGCCCACTTGGTCATGATGAGGTGTGTTTCGACATTGAGCCGCCGGAGGGCGATGAGGGTCTTGATTCCAAGGATAGCTCCAGTTGCGCCTGTGAGAGCAACGATAATGCGCTTTCGTTGTGAGGTAGTCATGCCTTCTATCGTCATTTATATGGCTACGTTTGTGATGGAAAGAGGCAATATGAGAACCGCCCAAAAATATATGTTTGCATAGGGACACGACATGCATGTCCCTAGGTCAACTCTCACAGCCAAAATCGTCTAGAGCCAAAATCACCAGATTTGATGTTTGTTTTTTAATCCTACAACATCAGGTTTGTTTAGGGCTTAGAGCCATCTACCGTGAAATCACACACAGTAACTGTTCCACGGTTCATTAGACACGGAGAACCGAACGCGCGAATCTTCAACAGCATCGGCGGTCAGGTATAGTTCCGCTCCGCGCCGGGGCCGACAGTGTCTTAAAGACGTAACAGTAACGTAAAAACGACGACTAGGCCTCTGAATTAGTGGGGAAAAGATGGAAATAGTGGCGGATATAAGAAGCCGCTATACTATAAGGAACGGGTTTTGTTCGATTTAGTGTGAATCGGCGGAGACACCATGTCTGACGCCGAAGATGTTGTGGATCTCGTAACGGATGACCTTCCGGTCGACGCTACGGGAGCTGAGCCGGTTCTTACGCGATTAACTCGGTAGACAATAGATTGAGAGAATGTGTACTGGCCCTGAGGACCTAGTGGCGGCCCATACAATCACTCAAACCCTCTACATTGGGACCCGGCGTTCTGGGAAGCTCAAAGTACATTGAGCCCTATTGACATAATATACACTCAACCTAAGCCATTTCTGCTGGTGCTCTGAATAGTCCATATTTTCATTAGGCCAGGAAGTTTCCAGGGTGCATGTGGGCTTTGTTCAATCGGTGACTTATAAATGCCCTCGGGTACCGTGTGATTGAAGAATCAAAATTGTCGTTCAACTAGACACCTCATCCCCTTAAACATCATTTCCTACTTGAGTCAGAACAAATGGCGATGAACTTAGCGACTAAGGACCCAAAATCATCCGCGGCCAGCTTCCGCACCTTCATCGAAGAGTTGGCCGAAGAGAACGACCTACTAAGCATCACTAAAGAGGTCGATCCTCATCTGGAGCTAGCAGCCATCACACGAAAGGTTTACGAAACCAGAGACAAGGCCCCCCTCTTTCAATCCGTCAAGGGTCGCACCGAAGATGGCCTCTTTCGTGTTCTTGGGGCACCAGTCGGGGCGAGCAAGCTTCCTGGCAAGTGTTTCATCCGCATCGCGAAGTCGTTGGGGCTACCGTCTACATCGAGTGGACGAGACATAATCGAAGCAATCAACCAAGCAAAAAGGCTCCAACCCATCCCTCCAACCGAATTCGAAACTGGCCCGGTAAAAGAGTTCAAGATCGCTGGAGAACATATTGACCTCGAAAGCCTTCCCATCCCCATGTTACATGAGGCTGACGGCGGCCGTTATCTCCAGACCTTTGGCATGTTCATTGTGCAAAGCCCCGACGGGGCGTGGGTTAACTGGTCTATTACCCGCGGCATGGTTAATGGCAAACGGACCATGGTCTGCCCGACAATGTCCGCGCAAGACATCGGACGCATTCGCAATATGTGGCTGGAAAGGGGCGAGGATATGCCCTTTGCCTTATGTTTCGGGGTTCCGCCTGCCGCCATCATGGTGAGCGGGATGCCAATTGCGAAGGGCGTGAATGAGAGCGGTTTCGTGGGCGCCCTTATCGGCAAGCCAGTAGAGGTCACTAAGTGTGAGACCAGCGAGATTCGGATTCCCCGCGATACCGAGCTGGTTCTGGAAGGTCTTGTCTCCGCAACGGAGACGGCGAATGAGGGACCTTTTGTCGAATACCATGGTCATGCCTTCCAAGGCGTGGCTAAACCTGCCCCCGTCTTCCGAGTTGATGCCATCACATACCGGAAAGATCCCATTGTGCCAATTTGCGTCACGGGGCGGGCAGCGGAGGAGAGCGAAACGGTATGGGCTCTGACTCAGGCGGCCGAGGTGCTCAACATTTGCCAAGCCGCCGGCCTCCCTATCAAGATGGTCTGGAGCCCGTTTGAATCTCACTGCCTCTGGTTCGCTCTGCAGGTAGACTGGACCGCGCTTCGTGCCCTACGGACCGATATGGAGGAATTCTGTAAGAAGGTAGGCACAATTGTCTTCGCCTCGAAGCCAGGCTTCTACATCCCCAAAGTGTACCTGGTCGGAGAGGACATCGACCCAACAGATCTCAGCGACGTGATCTGGGCCGAGGCCACCAGGTGCCAGCCTGAGGTGAATGAATTTTTCTTCGACGGCTATGGAAACATCCCGTTGATTCCGTATGTCAGTCGGGGGTTCAGGAAGGGGAGAAATCATGTCAAGGTTGTACGATGTTGCATGTTCCCTGAAGAGTTCACAGAAGCTAAAGAGAATTGGAAATCGGCGTCTTTCCGAGGTTCGTACCCCCAAGACATCCAGGATAAGGTCGACAGCCAGTGGACATCCTATGGGTTTTAATCCCTTCCAAGTACTGGGAGTAAATCATGTCAAAGTGGACTTATTGAAGGATTACACAGGGTTAGTAAGTCAACATAAAACTTAGTACGTGATTCCATTCTTTGCCTTTGAATTGATTACTGAGTGTCCAATTTTTCGTTGTATAATGATGGCTTCACTCCTCTATCTTGCGCAAACCTGAATTTGTAATTGATTTAGTGCAGATATCCAGCTTGATACTAACGAGTTGCTCAGGACAAACTAATGACAACTTGATTTGTTGACTGGCTCTTGATAGATCTAGTACTATGCATGTAAAAGGAATGAAGCGGCAAGACACTGATTAAACGAGTGAAAGTAAAGGAAAGGAGCCCTGTGCATGTATTTTCCTAGCGGCTTTTGGGCACCCATACCAACCGTCCAGCACTTTGAGCTAGGTATAGAGACACACCAAGAGTCACCACTAAGAGCGTCCCGGTATTCCAACCAAACAAGGAGTACCTAGAAGAAATTGCAGGCAACTCGTCATTGTAAGGCGTCGTATGGGGTCTTTCCGGTGCGGGGAGCTTCTCTATATGTGGACCAGCAAGAGACTGCTTGAGAATTTCTTTGAAGAAGAGGTCATCCCCGAGCCAGGGTAGAACGTAATGTATAATAAGCCCTGAAAACGGCGGCTGTTGGCAGAGGAATGCGCCATCTCGACGACCCTTCTTCATCATGCTGGAGGCCCGTTCATATCGAATCGCGCATACTTCACTTAGCGCCTTTTCGATGAATTCAGGTTGGAGGTCTGGAGAGGTTGGAATCTCACTACGCGTGAGGGCATTGACAAGATTCGCTGCCGCCTCAATCGCACCGTTTTCTCCTTGAGCTGAGATCGGATGAACCTGGATGGTGATATTAGCACACCTATCCACCTCTGTAGTCTATGTAGTCCTGGGTCCGTGCTTTACGGCAGTACCTTGGTTGCCGCATCACCAATGATAAGAATCCTCTGGAAATGCCATCGCCTGAACACATGTTCCTCCAACGGGACCAAGGTAGACTTGATACGGTTGTCGTAGAGATCCCCGAACGTCAGTTCTTCTGTGATGTGATCATGTCGATGTTGTGTCGACAGCAAGAACTCATCCTCCTTAGAGAATTTAGGAATGTCTTTTCCGAATTTTGTCTCTCCTAATTCGTGGAACAGGAACCAATACACCCGGTCTCCCGGTGCGGATATGACCAGGTATAGATGGCCTCGGAAGAACGTGCTCTGCTGAGTAGCACCAGGCGGGAAGTTTACTGGTTGCTTAGAAATTCCGAAGATGCACTTCATGCTCGATTGTACGACTATGCATAACGGTTAGTATGTCTCTCTTCGCCAACACTACGTCAGTGCAACGTTGTGGAAATCCTTATATACTTACTTGATCTCTCTGACTGGGGAAACGCAATTGGATCAGAGACACTAGCTATCCGCCACATCTCTTCTCGTACCTTACTATGAACTCCATCACCGCCGACCAGGATATCGCCGGTATGTGTCGATCCATCCTCCGTGGTGACCAAAACTCCTGTAGAGCTGGTTTCCACGTGGACTACACGCTTGCTCGTAAGGACTTTGTCCTTTTGTTTCAAGTTGTCGTACAGGATTTGAAGCAACATCTGTCTATCTAACCACAAAGACGCGTATCCGGCGCTTTCTTGGTTAGTGTCATGGACATCAACTCTTGAAAGAATTCAACCGACTGTTTCTCCATTCTTTCTGAAATAGTAGGTCCAGGAGCTGATGAGATTGGTTTCCCATTCGCATCGCGGAAGGTCACCCTGTGGTAGTAGTTTCCAGCAGCCTCTCGGAGTCGCTCATAGCAGCCTAGTTGATCCAGGATGCGCAGGCCGTTGGGAAGTAAGCCGATGCTAGCTCCGACTTGGGGCGCAATCTCAGGATACGCTTCGAGAATCGTGTATTCGATGTCGAATCTCTCCAGCATATTGGCAAGAGAAAGGCCAGCGACACTGCCGCCTACAATGACGATTTTGATACCCATGCCGTCGGGTTCGAACAACAGAGCATGGAATGGTTACTGGATAATATGGAAGAATGGAAGGTCGACTTGGACTGCAAATATAGATTTCCTATGATCTCTTTCGCTTCGAGCAGTTCTGCCTTGATCTATGTCTTTTGCAGATGGCGACATTTCGGATCTTGGCAAATTCCGCCCCGCCGGCTGTTCGGTATCACGGAATCTTGACTTTATATTCCCCGTTATCCACCGGTAACAGAGCCCGGTATGTAGCAGCTCGTATCGCTACTTCTCCAGCTAACTTGGCTCATTGCCGTCTCCTTGACCCAGTGTCTCCACAGCGAGTTTTTGAGTTGTCATTATAAGGACACCGGGAGGAGCCGAATCTCCGATCTTAAGGATAAAACGGTAGTGGCCGACAGGTTAGGGCACAATACGACCCTGGGAAATGTTTTCCTTGTGTGATAATCAAGCTCGCGCTTGCGGAAGCTTTTATCAGAAACCTATTCTACTGCATTAATGGACCTTCAAACATGTCCTGAATGTTTTCGTTCATGGATGGCGCCGCCTTTTATGCACATCGCGGTCGTTATTCGGCGCATAGATAAAAGCCTCACTCACAGCAACAATTTTAGGATCACCGGAGTGCAAACGTAATTTAACTCTGTCGATGCCTTATTCGCGAATTCTTGCCACGTTGCTTTTCAAACTTCTCCGTATCGTGACAGAAGCGGACCGGCCTCTTCTTCGAGGATCAGAATTCTCGGAAGGCAGTTCCCAGGTGCTGCAGAGTCTAGGAATCCAGTTGTCAGACCAAGTCCGCCAATTGGGTTGTTGAACTTTAAAAGATGAACAAAGTCATCTCATACTGAAACGCGCGGCATTGAACATGACTTACATGCGCAGCATCACCACAGAGAACAATCCTCTCAGTATGGAAAGTCTTTGCGCACCTTTGATGGGCCCAATAGGGATTTGCATTCACCAGATCGTACTCCAAGGGTCTAGGTCCTGGAAGTAGACTCTCGTCCTCCTCATGGAGTTGCTTGATGATGTCTATCTGGGTCCACGATCTCGTTCCCACTCGTTCCCCTCATCGGGGGACTTCTATGTACGGGCCATGTTGCTCATATTGAGTGTTCTGTAAGGTAGTTGTCAGTTGGACTTCTGGCTACGTGTCAATTGAATTGTCTTTTGTAAAAGGTAGAGTACTCAGTTCGGCACCTTTCGTCGTACCAAATACCTCCAAGTCAGTTACATTCCCAACAAGTCAGAGTGCATGACAATATAAGTTCTGTTTGAGGCCCCACATCCACGATGCGGGCACATCCAATGCTTCTGGCCCGTATATTGGCTATTTGTTCGAAGAGAAAAAAAGGAATGATATGCTACCCCAGATGTTCCATTAGCTGCAATCCCTTAGGTGCATTGATAATTCTGTAGCACATTATCCCTTTGCACTCAGGCGCCCGGCTCATGACGACGGTCTTCCTTCTCAACATGACGCAACACTCCACTTGGTTTGACTGGCTAAGCGTGAAACGAAAGATGGATGTCATGCCCACGATATTATCCTGCATTTCTGCCAGCGCTATGGCTATTATTGCTACTTTATTCTACAGACTTATTTTGCATCCTCTCTCCCATCTGCCTGGCCCTCTGCCAGCCAGATTAACAGGTCTCTGGCGCACCACAAAATACATTCAAGGCGACTGGCACGATGACATACTCTCCATCCATGACAAATACGGAAGAGTGGTACGAATTGCACCAAACGAAGTTTCTGTAGTGGACGAGTACGCCATCAAAAACTTGTACGGCCACGGTCACAATGCCGCCAAAACAGATTGGTACTCCATTTGGGACTCTCCCATTACAGCACCTCAATCATTCTCGGAATTGGACCAGAAGCAGCATAGCTTTCTTAGAAAGCACCTGGCGAGTGCTTACTCAATGTCTTCAGTCCTCAACTACGAGGTCCATATTCAGGCCTGCCTCGATTTACTGATCCGAAAGCTCGAGAAATACACCCAAGCTGGTGAAACTGTTGACATGGCTGTACGGACTAATGCGTTTGCATTTGATGTAGTTGGTAAACTCGACTATGGTTCCCAATTTGGCCATCTTCAGGAAGAAAAGGACGTAGGTCAACTTCGAAAAACCATGTTCGATATTTTCAAGCCCTTGTCATCCGTCGGCCACCTCCCGCGGTGGTTATAGCTTGTCGCAAGTCGTGGCACTCAAATGATTACTGGGTTCTTCAACGCAGACCAACCCCTAGTAGCTTTCCGCAATTGGTCCGCGATGAGACTCCAGAAACGTCTAGACGACCCTAAGATGACCGGACGAGAAGACCTTCTGGCTTATTTCTGCCGAATGAAGGACCTCGAAGGCAAGCTAGCTTCCTTTGTTGAAATCTTGGTGGAGGCGATGAATTTAGTGTAAGTTCGACCTCCTCGTCATAACGCATAGCTACCTTACTAAGAGAAAGTCCAGTGGGGCAAGAGCAGACACAATCTCTATTAGCATGCGAACCTGCCTCTGTTACTTGGCAACAAATTCAGAAGTGCTGTCTAAGCTGAGAGAGTAAATTGACAACTTTTACAATGTAAATAATTTGAAAGCACCCATTTCTTACCTGGAAACTCAAAAGCTGCCCTATCTGCAAGCAGTTATCAAGGAGGCTATTCGACTACTACCGTCCATCGTCTTTCAGCTCCCACGACACACACCACCTGACTTTAAGGTAAGGGGTATCAAGAACCCGGTGAACACAATGATTGGAATCAGCCCTATAGCCCAAAATCGCGATCAGGGAATATTGGGTACAGATGCGAACGAGTTCCGCCCGGGCCGATGGCTCGAAAACGAAGACAAGACAAGATACTTTGATCGTAGTACGATGACATTTGGCGGTAGCGGGCCAAGAATGTGTATGGGAAGGAACGTTGCGCTGGTAAGTCGGATAGGACCACGAGCTTTGAGTGGAAGTCAAACTGACCAGGTATGGTTTCTATAGGTGGAGCTGCACAAGTTCGTGGCTCAGTTCGTACACATCTTCGACTTTAAGCTTGTCAATACGGATGCTCCATGGAGAATCAAGGCGTACTGTACCGCGTATCAGAGCGAAGTTTTCAGGAATATAAGCCGACGGAAATAAAGCCTTCAGCAGATCGCATCATCGATTGATGCCCGAGAATGGAAGGCGTGGATGTTCTGCTTGTCCAACTATAGTTTAAGTCAACATACCCACTTCCTGGCACCCCCCTGTTTCTGGCACCCACAAAAACGCGAAAATCCACCACAACCCAATGCCCACCCCCAACCTCCTTTTATCACAACATTTTCAATTCGCGTCCAAATGGGCTCATCTTTTGCACATGTCTTCTTCTATATATAATGCCTCAATATACCGAAGATCAGCTTCGTCAGGCTCTCGAGGA